CCTGGCGCCGGCCGGGGGCGGGGGGGTGGGGGGGCCCGCCCGGGGAGGAGCAGCGACGGGCCGAGGCGGCGTGCCGCCACATCCAGGTGCGGCGTCCCCTCGGGGCCGGGAGGCTGCTGCGGGACCCCCAGGCCCGGGCCTCCCTCTGGGGAGCCCCTCGGGCGCCCTCCGTGAAGGGGAGGGGGGGGGTCCTTGCTGTGGGGGGGGCCCATCAAGACACCCTCCGTGAAGGGGAAAGGGGGGGCCCTTGCTGTGGGGAGCCCCTCAGACAGCCCCCAGAATGGCACAGGGGATTCTTGCTGTGGGGAGCCCCTCAGGTACGCCTCCCCATCTGCCCCCAAGGAAGGCTGAGCAGCCCTGCTAGGAGCAGCCCCACAGACACCTCTTCCTCCCCAAAAATAGGTACTGGGGAAGCCTCTCGGTCGGCAGCCCCTCACCACCTTAAAGCAGGTACTGGGGGGTGTCCTCACTGTGGGGAGGCCCCCGCTCCCTGTCCCCACAAAAAGGGAGGGGTCTTGGCCCTGGTGATGGGGATCTTGTGTCCCAGGAGGCTGGCGTTGAGCCCCTGGGTCCATCCCCTCTCCCCAAGGCAGACGGAGGCCCGTGAGGCTGGGCCAGGCCACGCTGGCAGGGCACCGGGGACGGACGGTGCTGAACATATCTTGTGGGTAAAAATAGACCTTTGGTGTTCAGAGCCAGCTGTCACCTGTCCCACTAACTGGCAGACAAACATGTTCCCACGGAGGTTCTGCCTTTCCCTGAAGTTTCTCATGATGCTTTCTGTCCCCTGCCCTGGCTGGGTAGTTAAATTTGCTGTCTTCCCCCTTCCACCATCCCTGAATCTGTGTCCCTTTGCCACGGGGCACATCCCTTGGGCAGCCACTGGCACGTTGTTGTAGCTCATGGAGAAGTGCACTTGGTTGTATCAGTCCAGGTGACAGCTGTGGCACCACCAGACCTGCAGGATCGTGAGCGCTGTGGTTAAACTCCAGAACAATTCTCCTGTGTGTTGGTTTCTCTTGTCTCTTTTGACTTCCTCCCCCAGATTTCTTCCATCACCTATTCACTCCTCGAACTAACCAACCCTCGTACTCGGCTGCCACAAAAGCTCAGGGCATTGTTTTTCCATCTCTTGTTGCTCTTAATTGGATTTTCTTTTAAATGCTATTTGCCTGATTTATTTGTGGACGGGGAGAAAAGTGTAATAGTGCATCTCTTTCTAGAAGTATTTAGTTAGACTTGTCTTTACAAAACGTATTTATGTTCTAGATTAGCGAATGACTCCCCCCTCCCCATTCCTCTTCTTCCTGTGCATCTACAGTGCCCTCAGAAAGGACACCTTTAGTAAAGACTGTTTTAGGGGCAATTTGTTTCAGACAAAAAGATATGGTCTGCAAATTATTTTCCCTATGGTTACAGTGATTTGAGCCTAATGGTTAGAGCCCAATTGTGGCTTTCAGGTTGGACCAACCCAATGGGATGCGTAATACCACTTAAACAGTAAGGGAGTTCTCCATTGGGAAGTCTTGAATAACTGAGTGGTTTTTTATCTTTGTCTTTTCTTACTCCTTTCAGACAGTGTTTGCTGGAAAGAACAAGCCGCAGAAAGATCCCCTGAGTTCCTTCCGCTGGCAGGGCTTCAAGCTGGAAGAATATCTCATTGGCCAACCCATCGGGAAGGGCTGCAGCGCTGCTGTGTACGAAGCAGCTATTCCTTTCTCTCGCGATCGTCAGGGTCATGTGGAGAGCAGCCGTTTTGCAGGGCAGGGGCCAGCCGTGCAGCGGGATTGTGGCTTGCCTTCACAGGTGGCTGAAGAGGAGCCTGTAGAGAAACACCAACGGAAAGAGGCTTTTCCGTTAGCTATCAAAATGATGTGGAACATTTCGGTAAGGAGTCGGCTCTTGATCTCCTTGTCTGTCACTGGGAAAGTCCGTCTGAAATGTTTAACGCTTAAGTGTTGAAAGTGCTAATTATGTAGCACACGATGAGTGTGTCAAAACAAAGCTGTTGATATGTGACATTGGAGATGTTGATTGTTAGCGAACAGTCCCAGAGCAAGGTAATTAGCATTCATCATTCTTCCAGAATCAGCATTGAGAGCTGCTGGTGGTGGTGGAGTTGTTGGTTTTGGAGGTGATGCTTTTGGAAGACAAGCTTTTCTGAAGCTGGCTGTAATGCTAAGGTATAAGAATGGGAAAGCCACTGCTGCCTGTGCTTTAGGAATGGGTGTCCTTGTCCATGTCAGGACAGAGATAGATTTTCTTCTGCAAAGTGCGGCCGAGGTGCAAGTCAGTGGTCATAGGGGGTGGGGCAGTAACCTGCGTGCTGGGTCCCCTTGCCGTGAAGTGAACGGGTGGGATCTGTGGTAGTGTTTCCCAGCCCAGGTGACTCTCTGATGATCCAAGCCCTCAATGTGGCTATTCCACACTTAAAAATATCCACGTGGCTTTTCACATTGAAGAGGTTTTGTGGCACTTGATGCAACAAGTGGGTGTTCTAAGAGAGTCTTCCAAAACACTAACATCTGAAATCCCTTGGGCTCCCGAAACACTCTGGTGTTCAGCTGTGGGCTTTGCCAGTCCAGGTTTTAAGGTTGAAAATGAGTGTTAACATACAGCTCAGTGTGCTAGCAGTCGAGGGTGCATTTGAAGAGACAAATGGATTTCTTTCTGCAAGCAAAGGCCTTGCCACGTCCCTTGGTAAATTCTTTAAGTAGTTAATTGCCTTCCCCAATTTTGAAAGGAGAGAAGGGAGTCCCTTCAATCTGGTCTCAGTTGATCTAACTCCAGATACAGTGCCAGCGTCAGGATTATCTGCTTTCGGTTTGTATTGAGGCTGGATGATCTTAAAACAACGTGGTTTGTAATTGCTGTTGCAGGCTGGTTCATCAAGTGAAGCCATCCTCGATGCTATGGGCCGAGAGCTTGTTCCAGCCACGGGGCTTGCCTTAGCCGGAGAATATGGAGCTGTCTCTGGCCGCAGGTACGGTTGCTATGGAAATGGCGTCAGTTTTCAAATGGTGACGCGCTAATTTTATCCATCAATTAATTTTGCAGCAGATCCGTACTGTTAAGAAGATGGCCAGAGGTTTCTATAATAGATCCTGAAAGCAGATAAAAACAAAGCCTTGGGATTATTAATGGCTCAGGAAGCGTGTGCGTATGTTTTGTCTAAATGACGGTGCCTTCGGAAGTGCTGCATGCCTTGAATGTCACGCAGGGATGGGCTGCTGGCTGCCTTGGGGATTTTTCTCCAGCATGCTTTTCTCCGGCACAGTTAGGAAATCGCATAGCGATACCGCTGTTCAAATAGCGATTTAACACAGTCTTGTTTACTCTGAGGAGCAGATTGTGGCGTGGCTTTTTGGCGTGCAGGGAATACCTACAGCTAAACCATAGTGGTTTGGATGGCGTAGTCCAGAAGGGTGTCGGAAGGGTACGCCAATAACTGGGGACCAGTTGGGGTCCTGCCAGTGGTCTGATGGGTGACTGTGGCCAGGCACTTCTGTGCCCCATGCCTTAGCTTCCCCATGTGTAAAATGTGTTGATATCTGCAGAGTTGAAGGCTGGGAGGAGCTACTTCTGATTAAACATAATTTATGCATCATGGTGCTTTTTAATTACAGGAATACACGCCTACAATCGGTAACAATTTGACCATATTAAACATCAAACAATTTGACTGTAATACAGTTTGACTGTACTATTTTAGAACTGGTTTGGTTGTAAAATGGGTGCGGGGCAGGGAGGTGGAAAGTGTTCTTTCTGGTGCAGGGAAACTGGCAAGAAAGAAAAAGGAGGAGGGTTCGGTTCCCACTCTTCCACCCGAGTGAGAAGTGAGCAAACAGCATGAAGGTGGAAAATTGCACGGAAACTTTTAAATGATCTTGAGTTAGCTATCTTTTTGTTCAAAAATGCCTCTTTTTTTTCGATTTGAAACAATGGAGTCTGGAGTCCAGATTGTCTGATTTAAATTTCAAATACATCTCAGCTGCAATACAAATGAATAATGAATGCTGTGTGGTACTTCTAGCTGAGAACACAACAGAGCAGCCAAAGGGGTATTTGACATTCAGGGCATGAGAGGGGAGAGAGATCTGTTTTGCAGATAGAGATTGGTAATGTGCCTTTCATTGTAGTGAGTGCTTCCTGCCTGTGCCATAAAAGAGAGGGTCTAAACTGATATGCCTAGTGTGAAGTTGACCTTTATTTTGTGTCTAACAAAGTAGCTGTGCGTGGTTTTTTTTTTTTCTCTAAAGCTGTTGTTGCAGTCCTTTGCGAACCAAGAAGCAGCCTGTGACTAGTTCTGCCTTTGTTAGCAGCATGGAAGGGCTAGTAGGGTTTGAATAAACTGAAAGGCTGCATGTTACATGTGAGGGTTTGCAGCAAAGCTTCGTTTGCAGCGCAGGTCAAGTGCCTGTATTTTGTGTTTGGCCATTGTGTGTAGGGAAATCCAGTTACGACAGAGTCCTGACAGCCACAGATGAAGTCTTGGTCTGTGTATCCTCCGCTGGTGTGTCAGCAGCCGGCACTGCCTTGATGACGGTTCACTTTGCTGCGGGAAGCCCCAGAGTAGATTCTGAACTCTGGAGAAAGTGCTGGGACCTGCCCGCTGCTGCGGTGGACCCGCTCAGGCTGTGGGTGTTCTGCATCAATGTGGGAAACGCTGGGCTGAGGCGTGGGTTCGGAAGTCGGCCGTGAGGGCGGGGAGGTTGCTGTCGGTGTTCTTTCTAACCAAATGGTTTCCAGGATGTGAACGTTTGAATATTTGCTTGATGTGGAGTCCTGTAATCTGTACTGGGTGGCCTTAATGCTGTCTCGAATAAGGTTTTCACTGCAGAATAAACATGTTTGCACACTGCTTTGGAACCCTTTGGTGGGGAGGACGGGCCATATTAATGAGAAGTAAGTCCAGAAATGAGAGAGATGTGTCTGTGATGAATCAGACCTGACTAGGAGACCGCTGTAATCTGTGTTGCCTATACTTTTGCACAGAAAACCTGTCCTTGGGAGGAAGAAGTTGCAGCCTCATCCGAATATAATCCAGGTGATCCGAGCGTTCACGTCCTCTGTCCCTTTGCTGCCTGGAGCCTTCACAGACTATCCTGATGTTCTTCCGTTAAGCCTGAATCCCAGAGGGATCGGTCACAGCCGCACACTCTTCTTGGTGATGAAGAAGTAGGTAGAGAGAAGCTTGTTATGTGACTCGGGCTTTTTGTGACACTGCCTGGCGGGGCTGCGTATTCTGCTGCTACGCAGGTCCTTTCAAGGATTTGGCCTCGGCTGCTGCCAAAAAGCAGAGTATGCTCTTGGAAACGCCTCCCAAGACCCATTCCAAGTCCTTGAGATTTTACCTCTCATTTGACAATGAAGACAAGCTGTTCTTTTTAGTAATTACCCCAAATTAAAGTAAGAAATGTGGGGCTTGTCCCCATTTGTCTGCCCTTCTAAGGCTGAACTTCAACCCTAGTCTGAACGCACTGCTACAGACAGAGTAGAATCGGTAACAAGATTTATTAGTTCTCAGCATCTCTGGCTTTCTCAGTTGGGTTTTGGTTTTGATTGGGTATTGCTGTGGCACTGACATAAAAGCACCTTCTGTTTCCCAACCTTTTGTTCTGCCCGCATCTGGAGAAGTGCTCTGTCCTCTCTGTATTTCAAGAATATGTTCTTTCTCCTGATGAGCACATCTCCTCATTTTGCTCATACAATCTGCATTATTAATCTGCCTCCTCTTTCATGCAAAATACAACACTGGTACCTAAAAACACAGAAGAACAACTGCTGTATAGCTGGAGCCCCTTGCCGTGATGTTTAAGAGGCTTATTTTATTTGCAGTTGTTGAACTCAGGCGAGGGCACCAAAAATTCAGTGGTGGGTGTTGTTGCAAAACAGAGGATTTGAGAACAGCAGACAGGGGAGCGGTGTCAGGTTGAGGTTTGGAGGTGGGAAGGCATTGCGGAGGTCAGGAAGAATTTGGTACATACAAGTGTGCCAAACATCCCCAGCAAGCCAGTGCTGAGGTTGAACAGCGAGCGCTAAGCTTCCAGGATGCTAATTCAGAGGTTTTCCTTGTTATGGCTAGTTATCCGTGCACGCTGCGCCAGTATCTGAGGGAGAGCAGTCCGGATGTTTGTCTCTCCACGATGATGATTTTACAGCTCTTGGAAGGCGTGGACCATCTTGTTCGACATGGAATAGCGCACAGAGACCTGAAGTCTGACAACATACTGGTTGAATTTGATTCTGGTATGTAGATTGCTGAGTATAAATGCCAATTAAGTGACACACAGAAGTGTGGGGAAGTTCTGCCCAGGCGTGCATTTAGGGGAGAAATGAGCATTGAACCCTTTGAAGAATCTCGGGTTTAGTTTTCAGGTTATCGCTTGCTGTCACTGCAGCACCGGGGAAGTCATTTATCCTGTCTGTGCCTCAGGTTGTGGATCATTAAAACGGACTTGAAAGGAGCATTGTGCTGTAATCAGATGGAGAGGCGCAGCATATTGCTAACGTGATGCATTGCACAAGCACAGCAAACGTTGGCTGGAGCAGATGGGTGTAGATTAACACCACATTTGTGATGCTGGAGGTGCCTTTGCTTTAGGCTCTTGGGTCTTGTTGTCTCGCAGTAGCCAAATAGCATGGGGCGGTTCTTAAAATCCCACCTCTTGGTCAGGTTAATAGTGCTGCACCCTGGGATGATGAAACATTGGCTGGAAGGCAAGGGAACCAACAGTGTTAAAGCCAAAAGCAGCGTTTTCGTTGGCTTGTTCTCCTGTCAGCCTCTCTAACTGAGATTTTAATTACCTGGGTTCTTTTTCGGCGTGATTGCGATTCAAATGGGCAGGAAACAATAGCAGGCAGCCAGATCTGTGTAATTAAAGGTCTTGGTACAGCAGCCGTGGAAGGTTTTCAGCAATACTAATGCCATCCTTTTTTTCTCGAAGGAAAAGCTTCTCTGGAGTTATCCTGAATGCGGTTAGGAATGATCTTAAGCATTGATTTTTCTGTATCAGAGTTCAGAGAAGTAATGATTCTACTTTGCAACGCTTGATTTGTCATCAGGACAAGGACTGTTAACTAATGCAAAGTTTCTCCAGCCTTTTGCTATAGCTAAGTATATATCTGTATGTCAACAGCTTTTGCTAAAGGTAAAAACAAAGGGAAAAAAAATGAATATATTCCTTCACTGTGGATGGGTCCCTAACCTTAAGTGTCCTCGTTTTTACGGTATCCATGACATTTTGTCAGACGCACGTCCCGTGGGGAGAGGTAACGTCCTCTAAAGAGGAAATAGAAGAATGAGTTTTGCTTTAATAAAACCAGTATTTCACCTAAGAATACAGAGGCAAAGCAGGAAAACAGCGTGCGGTTGTGCTGATTCCTGGGGGGTATTGAGATTGATCCAGAAGACTGTCTCTGGTGTTCATGTGATATGGTGGCTAATAGAGCCAGGTCCTCTTGAACTGAACGCTAACTCTGCTAGCCCTGTGTTGTTCGCAGCTGGCTGCCCCTGGTTGGTGATCACGGACTTCGGTTGCTGTTTGGCAGATGAAAACATCGGCTTGAGGCTGCCTTTGACCAGCTCTTACGTGGATCGGGGCGGCAACGGCTGTCTTATGGCACCCGAGGTAAATCCCTCTGTAGTAATGGTTTGTGTTGCTGGTTGTCTGCTTGTCCTGCTGTCAGGACTAAAAAGTTTCAGCCCCAGCTGTGGTGCACACTATGATAGGAACTTGAAAAAGAGTAGGATTAGGTCTAGAAGCAGTGGAGGGCATGCGTGCACGTCACTTTGCTGTCATTTGGTGCTGAACCTTCCCCCATGTGCACGCGCCAATACTTGCTTATGTGGTTTCTGCTGGTGTGTGTACACAGTAATACCTGCTGAAAGCCTCTGCAATCAGATCGATCGTTTTCTGCCCCTTTCCGCTCATTGACGTAACTCGGTCGTGGGAGACAGTAACCGTAGCTGATTAGTGCCTAACTAACTTCGGCCTACACTCCGTCCTGGAGACCTGTGTCCCATAAAGCGGTGTCGGAGGTCCGTGTCCTAACTTGAGTTATGCTTGCTAAACATCTCTGCGTTAATAAAAAAAGTCCTCTTTGGACCTGTGCTGAGCACTTGTCAAGCAGACACCTTGAGCTCTCAAAGGTGAAAAATAATCAGTCAGTGTTATGAGGCAGAATTGACCTTTCCTGCAAAAAGTTTGCTCTTCAGTCTTTTTTCAGGCCCCTTTCTGTGTAGCTATTAAAGAAGTTTATGCAGTAGTCCCTGTGTTGCGACAGTAGTTTTTGGATGAAGTTCAGGGTGGTTGTGAAGTTATTGACAGTTCCTTTTTATTTCTCTGATGATAACCATAATAAAAGCAAAGACACCCTTAACTGTCTGCTTGACCTGCAGCACCTTGCCTTGCATTGCTTAAATGCCGGTGCAGCATTGATTGTTCATCCGCCTGTCTCCTGCCTGTCTAAAATCCTAGTGTGAAATCTGTGAATGCTGGTTGGGGCAACGACTAAAGCCTAGGCACAATAACCGGACTCCTCCCAGTGTCCTGGTGAGCTGAGCAGTGTCTAGAGCATGCCAATAGGGAATATTTACACCAGAGGTTTAGATGAAACCTAGCTTTGGTTTCAGCCTCTCTCCGTTTATGACGGCGGAAATGCTGACTCAACCCTTGAAAATGAGTTTTAGCACAGAGCCCACGCTAGAGGTGTTTATTTGAACATCCCCATCTCTGTGACAGGTGATCACAGCGTCGCCTGGTCCAGGCACGGTGATCAATTACAGCAAGGCTGATGCTTGGGCTGTTGGAACGATCGCCTATGAAATCCTTGGCTTGGCCAATCCTTTCTATGGCCACGGGGAGTCGACTTTGGAAAGCAGAAGTTACCGGGAAGACCAGCTGCCAAGCCTGCCTGATCACGTGCCCCTTGAGGTGAAGCAGGTGATAAAGATGCTACTTCAGAGGGATCCCGACAAGGTAAGAAACTGTTGTCTTGAAGAAGTCATCTGACCAGTCTTTGGGAGTATTGTTTGTAGATCATTTTGCCCTGGAGGGCTATGGGTGCAGGACTGTAATCCAGATACCACTGTAGTCTAGATAACGGTCAAAGACAACCAAAAAGTCTTTTGCTGAAGTACAGTGCTGCCTCTCACATGCAGCACTGGATAGTTTCAGGGATTTCAGCGGATGTTTGTGTCGAGGACTGGACCTTGAATTGGGAGGGGTTGCATGCAGTTGCCTGGTGTTAATTGTCACAAAGAGCTTTTTAATTCATGGGGAATGTGCAGTGCCTTAGAGGAGGCCTGGGGGACTTTTGGCAGCATAGATGCTACATGCTAGTGATGTGATCCGAGTGCAGCAGGATCGGCTAATCTTCTCTCTCCTTCCTTTTGCAGAGATTGTCTGCTAGAGTTGCTGCTAACGTGCTTCACCTAAGCCTCTGGGGTGAAAGCGTTCTGGCGTCCAAGACCCTGAAACCCGACCAGATGATCGCCTGGCTTCTCTGCCAGTCTGCGGCTGCTTTGCTCACGGACAGACTGGTGGATAAAAGCCGCGTAGAAACCAAAATGAAGATGTGCTTTTTGGCCAACCTTGAGTATGAAGACCTCTGGGCAGCAATATTCCTGTTGCTGGCCTGGAGGAGCCGGTCTGGGTGAAAAGCACCATCATCTGGGACACAACCGTGTGATAGATAAACGGCACTTTCTAAAGGCACATAGGAATCTGTCTTTTCTTTCTGCCTGCAGTCCTGTAGTGCTTAGGGAACAAACCTGCAGGCCTCTGTTTAAGATGTTGAGTTTATCTCTAGCAAGCGTTAGTACACACTGCTTTTGTCTCTCTGCTAGAGGAAATGCCCTTGCTTCGTTACTCTCTTGGTGTGAGGGTGCGTGGACCTTGCAGGTGTCCTGAGGTACGTGCTTGGTTTTGCTCACATTTGGGAATGCTTAATCGACTTCTAAGTCGTGTGTTGAATGAAGCAAGTTCCCTTTCAGAAGAGGGGGTGTGTGGGAGGAGGCACTGTCTAGCTGCTCTTTACACGGAAGTGTCATGAATTCAAAGAACACACTGAGAAAGCTGAGCTGACGAAGGGACGGGTGATCTTTCTTTTCTTAGGGGAAAAAAACCAGAAGTGGTCTTAAGATGATATCCCTCTGCAGCCACAGACAGATCTTGCTATAAAACGACAGCCTAAAAGCCTCCTAGTGAGGTGCTGCCTGGTAACGTGAGCGTCAGGAGCTGCTCGCTTCTTACGATAATGCACCATTAAACGCCTCTCTAGTTGTACGCAAAATAGCAGGAGTGCAGTCAGCTCGAAACCTGCTTATGTTGTGCAGTTTGGTGTGATGCTCTTCTGTTTTACCTACCTGTTTTCTCTGTTGAACAATGAAGTAATATCCTTTGGTCGGGGAGGATAGGAGACATCGATGTTTGCACAACAACAGTCGTGTTTATGAAAACATCATACTATTTCTTGTCTGTAATTGTGTTTAGAGGAACTTGGGGAGAAAGTTGTTTATGCCTGTTGCACAATAAATCGAAGATTAAGCTCTGCTGCTGAGTGGGTTCTCTCAATCTAGTTCATTGCTGTTTGTCAGATCCAGGCTTTAGGCTGTGGAGGTCTAGGCGGCAACGTAGCCCTGGTTCAGTGGCGTCTTAAAAGATCGTTTGGCTCTTTCCAGAGCCGTCTGAGGAACGCGTTATTTTATGCCACCAAGTGGAGTTTCCCGAAGAGGAGCGGACCTTGCCTCATGAATGTCCCCGTTTTTGTACTCTCCTGAATGGTAAATTGCTGGCTGCTCCTGCAGTTTCCGGGTTGATGACATTGTTTGTCAACTGGCTGATATCTCTAATTGTCACGCAGTAATGTGCCATCAAGGTCTTGTAGGCTGAAACGGCGTCTAGTTCAGCAACGGTGGAAGACTACCTACAAGGGGATGGCCCTGCTTGTTTTGCCTGTGAACACAGGACACTGCTGGGGCTGTAAAGAAGGCTCAGCAAAGAGCACAGAGCCTGGGAAATCACGGAAAATGAGCTCTTTGGAGAAAAAGTTGCAGAAAAAGAACTTTTTAATATTGACCTGACCCTGACCAAAGCAGCTACTGCTGCTTTTTCTTAGATACTGAGTTCTTGCAGCACATGGGATGGCTGGGACCCTCCGCGTTAGGCCCTGCCCCTACCCGACGTTCCGGGATAGAACTGGTTCTCCCACCAGTACTCTGGGGTTCTACGGGAAAACTTTTTCATGCGCCGGAGTTCACCTGTTGTCCCTACGGGCGCGCGGTGTTAGACCTGGCCTCCCTTCCTGACCCTCCAGGGTAGGCCTGGTATCCCTACCTGGTGCACCCGGTTAGGCCTGACGTCCCTTCCCGATACTCCGGGGTAGTACCGGTACCCCCACCCGGTACTCCGGGGTAGTACCCGTAACCCTCATCGGTACTCCGGGGTGGTACCAGTACCCCCATCCGGTACTCCGGGGTAGTAGCGGTACCCCCACTCGGCACTCTGGGGTGGTACCAGTACCCCCACCCATTAATACCGGGTACAACTGCTGTCCCTACGGGCGCGTAACTGGGATGGCTGCCTTGGGTTTGTGCATGCACTCTTGTGTGAGCTCTGTGCCCCTGTCACTCTGTCTCTGGAGCTTTTTGAAGAGTAAATACTGTCGCTTTTCTGATAGATCTCCGCTCCGACCTCTCTTGCTGCTGTTCTGCTGTTTCTCTGAGCCAGCAAGAGCTGGTTAGGTCAGCAAGGTGCAGCTCGGCTGTATTGGTTTTATGTGGCAAGGTTTTGGTAGCGGGGGGGGTTACAGGGGTGGCTCCTGTAAGAAGCTGCTGGAAGCTTCCCCTGTGTTCGAGAGAGAGTGAGCCCATACCAGCCGGCTCTAAGACGGACCCGCCGCTGGCCAAGGCCGAGCCAATCAGTGATAGTGGTAACGCCTCTGTGATAACATTTTTAAGAAGGAAAA